TGCCAGGTGGGTCATCAGCCACTTTCAACAGCCCTCCGCACTCTGCCGGGCCCACCTCAGTCATACTGCGATCCCCGCCGGCCTGGATCAAGCTGGATCAGCTGCCACATCTGAGCTGCAGACCCAGGAAGACGCTGTTCGCCGGCACAGAACCACGCTTGCCGCATAGAACGACGGTGCCTGCCGGCACAGAACGACGGTGCCAGCATAACAACGGTGCCCGCCGGCACAGAACGATCGCTGCCAGCATAGAACGACGGTGCCTGCCGGGACAGAACGACGCTGCCAGCATAGGCCCACGCAAAGCCTGCTGGCAGGAGAATCACTGGGCATGTACCGGCATAGACTGCTGTCAGACACTGTGATGTGTCGTCACCAGCCCTGAACCCCATGTTCTTCCGGCCCAACTCCCCAGCACTGAGAGCCACTGTCCTCACCTTCACCATTCCTGTCACCCTCCTGCCCGCTCTCCCAGGAGACCACTCTGCGGTCACCTTCAGCAGCCGAGGCCCCTGGGTGGGGCCCACACATGCCACTCAGGCTTCAAGGCTCCTGCTGCCAGGCACCTGTTTTTCTGGTTCCTCCTTCCATCCACAGGCCACCTGGGTTGCCCACCTTGTCACCATTTTACTCTCCAGACCTACACTCCCACAGACAGCTCAACTGCTACTGAATAAATGGCAAATCTGGCAAGAATGAAAACTCCTTCCCTGAGTCCTCACCTGTTCTTCTCATCCCTGCCCAGGCCTCGCCCACCATGGTGTGCAAGACTCCACACCCACACCTCTCCCTCTGCCAATCCCCGAGGCAGCTGCTCGGAAGCCTTGACTAGCGGCAACCCAGTGAGCACATCCTGCGTATCCTCCCCAAGGAAGGAGCTTCATGCCTCCCAGGGCAGGTCTGTTTCAGCCCCTAGTGCCAAGTGCAGCCCAACGATCTCCCAGCGCCTGCTCTCCCTCTACAGGTGTGAAGACTCTAATGCCTTTCTAGCCTGACCCAGTCTCTCAGGCGTCTCTCGCCTGATATCCACAGGCACCACAAACCAGACCCTCTCAGAACTCCTGTCCTGGCTCCAGCGCCTCCCAGCCCTCAGAGCCATCCCAGAAGCACCATCCTAGCCCTCCTCCCCTCCTCATAATGTCCCACCCAGCTCTGTAGACTCGGCTCCCTTCTCCCATCCACAGCCTTGGCTCACCCATCTCATCCCTGATGACTGAGTCTTGGTCTAACATCTGTGACTCAAGCTTGCCCAACATGCGCCCAACACAAATTCATAAACTTTCTCAAAACATGATGAGATGAGATTTTTTTGTTAAGCTCATCAGCTATCAGTGGATTTATGTGTGGCCTAAGATCTATAATTCTTCCAGTGTGGCCCAGGGAAGCTTAAAAGATTGACACCCCAATCTAGACTATCTCGCTCAGCCAAGGGACTGCTCTCACCAGTTTACTTCCGGAGCTACGCTGACGGCTGGCGCGGATGCTCAGGTTAGAGAACTTTGCACAGGGGCTGACCGCTACTGCTTCACCACTTACAAGTACCCCTCCCGCCTGCTGGGAGGGGGCAACCACCACCTGTGGGTCAATCCAGTTCCCGCCCAAGAAGTCGGGATGCGGCCTGTGCGGCCTGGTGTGTAGATCTCGGCCTGGTGTGTAGAGGCGGCTCAGGTGTGGTGATCCGCTCTGGTGTGTAGATCTGGCTTGGGTGGGGGTAGAGGCGGTCGGTGTAGATCTGGCCTGTGTGTAGAGGCGGCCTGTGTAGATCCAGCCTGGTGTGTAGAGGCGTCTGGTGTGCAGATCTGGCCTGTGTGTAGATCCGGCCCAGGCGATGCCTGGTGTAGATCCGGCCTGGTGGTGTAGAGGCGGCCCGGTGTGTAGATCCGTCTGTGGTAGAGCGGCCTGGTGTGTAGATCCGTCTGGTGTGTAGAGGTGGCCTGGGTGTGTAGAGGTGGCCTGGTGTGTAGAGAGGCGGCCTGCTGTGAGATCTGGCCCGGTGTGTGGATGCGGTCTGCTGTGTAGATCTGGCCTGGTGTAGAGGTGGCTTGCTGTGTAGATCTGGCCTGTGTGTAGATCTGGCCTGCTGTGTGTAGATCTGGCCTGGGTGGCAGATCTGGCCTGGCTGTGCAGATCTGGCCTGCGTGTAGATCCGGCCTGCTGTGTGTGATCCGGCCTGCTGTGCAGATCTGCCTGTGTGTAGATCTGCCTGGTGGTGGTAGATCCGCCTTGTTTGTAGATCCAGCCTTGTTGTGTAGAGGCGGCCCGCTGTGGTAGATCTGGCCTGCTGTGTAGATGCAGCCTGGCTGTGTAGAGGCGGCCTGCTGGTGTAGATCCGGCCTGCTGTGTAGATCTGGCCTGGGTAGAGGCGCTCGTGTGGAGGTGCGGCCTGGTGTGTAGATCCGGCCTGTTGTGCAGAGGCGGCTCAGTGTAGATGAGGCCTACAGGCAGAGGCGTCTGCTGTGTAGATCTGGCCTTGGTGTGTAGATGAGGTCAGGTAGAGGCCTGAGGTGTAGAGGCGTCTGGTGTGTAGAGGCGGCCTGGGTGTGTAGATCCGGCCTGCTGTGGTGAGGCAGGCATGCCTGGTGTGGTAGAGGCGGCCTGCTGTGCAGATCTGGCCTGGTGTGTAGATGAGGCCTGGTGTGTAGAGGCAGCCTGGTGTGCAGAGGCTCAGGCAGAGGCGCTGCTGCAGATCTGGCCTGGTGTGCAGATCTGGCTCAGGTGTAGAGGTGGCCTGGGTGCAGATCTGGCCTGGTGCAGGATGAGGCCTGGGTGCAGGAGGCGCTGGTGCAGAGGCGGCCTGTGGTGTGTAGAGGCGGCCTGGTGTGTAGATGTGGCCTGGTGTGTAGAGGCGGCCTGGTGTGTAGAGGCGGCCTGGTGTGTAGAGGCGGCCTGGTGTGTAGATCTGGCCTGGTGTGTAGATGCGGCCTGCTGTGTAGATCTGGCCTGGTGTGTAGATGCGGCCTGCTGTGTAGAGGCGGCCTGCTGTGTAGATGTGGCCTGCTGTGTAGAGGCGGCCTGGTGTGTAGAGGCGGCCTGCTGTGTAGAGGCGGCCTGCTGTGTAGAGGCGGCCCGCTGTGTAGATGTGGCTGATTAAAGACGGCTAGGACTCCTCCTTGGCATGCTGATTCTGGCTGCACCGTTGAGTGGTCCCAACAGACTGCGGAGGCTGAGAATATCGACTCCCTGTCCCCTGACAGATCCCTGGTCAAGACCATCTCAAATCACCCTCCACAAAACTGACAGAATGATTTTTCCGAAGCAAACCTGGACTCACACTCTAGTAGATCCAGTGCCTTCCATAAAGGACAAACGCCTCAGCCTGCGAGAAAGCCTCACTGGGGTTTTCCGGCTGCCCTCCCGGGAGCGGGACCTCCCAGGTCGCTGTGCAACCCCGCACGCCTTCCCATTCCAGATTCCTGGCGTCTACACTGCGGCACATGCTCCCCACCCGGCGTCTATACTGCGGCACATGCTCCCCACCCGGGAGGCTCATGTCCTCTGACCACATGGAACCAGAGGTGTCCTGAGTCCCTGCGTCTCTGCCCCTCTGGGGAACAGTGTGACAGAGGCAGGGCCTTTCCTCCAGGAGCTCAGCACAGGGGGGGACAGACTTTGAACAGTCCCATGTGGTCAGTGCTACCTCGAGGTCACGCTGATTCCCCAGAGCTAACAGAGGGGCAGCGATGCCAGGGACTCAGACACCTTTGATTAAACAAGGGACTGACTGCTTCTAGTGACAAGAGAACTCTGTGTACCTTCCAGAAAATTCCTTTAACTTCAGCACCAGAACACCTTTCCTTGGGCTTCATCTCTCCTTTAGGACCCCAAGGAATTACTTTTATTTTGCAAAAAAGTTTTAAATCTGATGCCTTTGCCACAGCCCATGCTGGTATATGAGCTACCACTGACTGCCTGGGGTGCTGGGCTGCGGGCGCCTGCTGCAGGCAAGAGTTTGCACGTTCTTTAAAAAGTTGGGTTCTTTTTTGGGGGTGGGGGGTACGGGGGTTCTTTTGTTTGTTGCCAGCCAGAAACAACAGAAATGAACCAGAGAGGGTAAGACACAAGATGGACAAAGTCCTTTCCAGAAGGGGCCCATGTGAGGCTTCTCCCTATGCTCCTCAAAGCTTTAAGCAGTTTAAATGCTGGCTTCATTGTAAAAAGTTTCACATCCTTAGTGCCTACAGAGTAATGGTTTTAGACAATCAGTAACTAGAGGACTCAGGAACTACAGCAAAGTCATAGGTTCTGTGGCCAGCCAGCCTCTCCTGTTCAGTTGTTCAGTGGGGCTGCAAAGCAGTTACCTCCCAGGCTCAGGGGCCTACAACAGGACCCCTGCTGCTGCCTGGAGAGCACTCACAGGAGTGACAACCATCTGAAAGGCTCACAAGGCACCATGGAGGCATCTGTCCATCTCATAGGACACTCCCAGAATTAGGCAGCGGGGAGTTAGGGAGAAGGGAGTTAGGGAGAGGGGAGTTAGGGAGAAGGGAGTTAGGGAGAGGGGAGTTAGGGAGAGGGGAGTTAGGGAGAGGGGACTTAGGGAGAGGGGAGTTAGGGAGAAGAGAGTTAGGGAGAGTTAGGGAGTGGAGAGTTAGGGAGAGGGGAGTTAGGGAGAGGGGAGTTAGGGAGAGGGGAGTTAGGGAGAGGGGAGTTAGGGACTGGAGAGTTAAGGAGTGAGGAGTTAGGGAGAGGGGAGTTAGGGAGCGGGGAGTTAGGAAACAAGGAGTTAGGGAGCAGGGAGTTAGGGAGCGGGGAGTTAGGAAACAAGGAGTTAGGGAGTGGGGAGTTAGGGAGCGGCGAGTTAGGGAACAAGGAGTTAGGCAGCAGGGAGTTAGGGAGCGGGGAGTTAGGGAACAAGGAGTTAGGGAGCAGGGAGTTAGGGAGCGGGGAGTTACGAAGCAGGGAGTTAGGGAAACAGTGTGCTTTTCTCTGTGCACACCAAGGAGGCCTCTCCCTGCTGCTGCCCTTTCCCAGGAGAAGCCATAGGCTCGGGGGCCACCTACCTCCTGAGGCCATCCCCAGGCCTGCCGCTGCACTCTGCGCAAGGCTGTGATGAAGGGAGCAGCGGCTCCCTGGACAGCAGACAGCCAAGAGGGTCTGTTTCTCCAGCTTCCTGCAGGAGTGGAACAGGACAGGTGGCAGAACCAGCAGGTTTACTGAGGGCTGCCAGGCTCCTCCCTTTCAGGATCCAGGCAGGGCAGGAAGCCATAGCATTGTTAAGAGGCCGCCACATCCTAGTCCCCACCTCCTCGGAAGGGACAGGTAGGCAGGTGGCAGGTGCGCCAAACCCCTATCTCTGGAGAAGAGCTACCTTCCTTTCTCTTCCCTCACCCAGAGAGCAGGCAGCAGGCCTCACAGTGCCCACTGTGTTCACTGCCACAGTACAGAGCAAACCCGCTGACCTACAGACTCTTCAGCACGGCCAAGGCAGGAGCCAAGGCCTTCAAACACTCGTGCTAACAGCATCTGAGAGAACACAGGTGGTGCATCTCAAAGAAACACTTATTAATGCCTGCTATGGGCCAGACTCCTTGAAAACGTTACCTGATCCCTCCTTCGGCACTTGTGAGGCTATAGTACCTGCAAATTCCACGTCAAATCTGCTCGGGCGTGGGCAGCACAAAGAAACCAGGAAGGAAGGAGAAGGTCACAGGGAGTCTGCCCTTTAGGCCATCCCACCTCCACAGACAGCACCCTCCTTAAAGGTCAAGCTCAGGATCTGACTTCTGCACCAGTCCCTAGCCCCTAGTATCCGGCACACGGCAGGCAGCGGGCACCGTCCTGTGGGACAGAAGCCTAACACGGGCCATGGGCTGGCTGTACTCCTTTCTCAGGCTCTCGGGGCAATCTGGAGGCACCCACATTCCTTGCCTGGTGGCCTCTCCTCCCTCTCCAAAGCCCGCCCACTGCACTTCCCTAAGCCTCTTGGCCATCATTTCCCTCTGGCTCTTCTGCTTCCCTCTTCTGTTCTTAAGGCCCCTGTGATTGCACTGGGCTCCCTGGGAAAATCCAGGATCACCTCACTATTTTAAGGTCAGCTGATTAGCAACCTTAGTTCCCCTTTGCCATGTAATGTGACATATTCACGGGCTCAGAAGGTAGGACATGGACATCTCGGGGAGCTGTTCCTCCACCAATCACAGGAGGAAGAGGGGAAATTGCCTCCACGTTTTTCCAAGGGCCAGGACCAGTCACTGTCTATGGGGTGGGCGCACAACTTCAGAACCCTCTCCGGTTTGCAATTACTGCATTGCAAAGAGGCTGCGTCTGCTTAATTTGTATTATCGATGTTACACCCGGAGAAATTTTAGCCAAAAAGTGACCTTCTCAGTTGAAAGGCACATTCCAAACAGCACCACACATCTGGGAAGGTGTCCTTTTCCAGAGTGCGTGAGAATAACGGGATGGTATCATCACCCCGTGGACCTGGATCAGGGCTGGACCTGGATCAGGGTTGGCTTTCACACCGTAGCAGCACCTGCGCGAGTCCACCTGCTTACTGCCACCCTCTTACCTCACGCCTTCCTCAGGGCCCGGCTCCTGGGACACAAAGGCTGTATCGCTAGGACTTTCGTTCAACCCAGCAAGACCTGCAGAGCCATTCTAGGGGGTCCCAGTCTCACCTCTGCCCCACCCCCACATGGTGGCATCACACACTCTTAAGCCCGATTTCAGTGCCGCCTTCACTTCCCATAGAACCATCCCAGAGGACGGGGGGAGCAGTGTCCCGCCTGGGAACTAGGTGCTCCACTTGACCACTGCAAGCATGACAGAGATGAGGAGGGTCCAAAAGTAAAAACAGAACGCCTGCCCAGACTTCTCTATCGCCAGGATGATTTTCTCCTAATTAACCATCTTGATTAAAGTAAAAGGAAAATCAACATGAACATTCTTAAAAATTAATGTAAAAGTTTTTAATTCCCTTGATATTGGCATTTCATAAGAGCTTTCCAGAAAATCTCGACAGTTCAGAATGCACTGAGTGAAAAGAATCAACGCTGTGTCTCCTCAGCATCCCTGGTACCATTCAACAAACAACAGAAAAATGACCTCCTTGTGATAGTACTGACCCATTTCATGACCTGGACAATAGTTCCAAGTCTCAGATCTTCTGTTTTTGAAAGAGAAAACACTACAGCATTTATACATCTACCTATCTACCTATATGGTTGCCAGAAAGTACCAAGACTCCGATGACGGACTATATGTCCTCGTGGGAGCCTGCACAGGCACACACACACACACACACACACACCTCGAAAGTCACATCCAGGTGGCAGGGTGATAACACCCACAGGGCAAGGAGAACTGCTCCTACCACACCCTGGGTCTCTCACACACTCTGCAGCTCAGGGAGGCCCTGCAGACCAGGTGCACAGTGAGAGGCGAGTGAAAACATTCTGGAGTACCAAGAGCTTTTACACCAACACATTGACTAAGCAGCCATGGGCTAGGAAAATATGGTTATAGCCTAAGGGGAAGAAGGGAGACCTCTGGCGAACAGAAGTGTCAAACCTCAGACGAGCCCCTCCAGTGAGGCGTCCCGGGGTCCAGGGGTCCTATCCCGCTGTGAGTGGATGCTTTCCTCTACCACCTTGTGACGTTGTCATTCTCTTTTGTGATCAGGTTAATTTGGACATGAAAAAGTGACACTAGAATTTGGTCCCCACACTGCTGCAGTGGCCTCATGACAGTGCCTGGACAAATCCATGCTTCACCTGAGTCCTGGCCGTGAAGATGCTTGGGGCTGCCCCGACAGGAAACCCTTGCCACATCCAGAGGGGAGAGGGTTGGCTCCTTCAATGTGCCTTTCAGCAGGGGCCTGTGCTCGGATAGAGGGCTCATTGAGGCCGGCAGGGAGGAGCACCTGGGAGGAGCCCCACTGCTGTTCCACAGGCTCCAGCCAGACTGTCCTGCTGAGAGGCCTGGGGTGGGGCTGGAGGGAGGGTCTGCGGCCCAGGCCTGGAGGGACCTTTCTCAGCAAAGCTCCGCAGAGGGAGAGGGAGGAGGAGCTGGGAGACAGTGGATCCTGAAGGGCTGCCGCACCCACTTCCTTCTAGGAGCCTTCTACGACCGGACACTTGTTTCCAGTCTGGGCCCTTACACTGGAGAACTAGCCAGATTCACTTGACACCAAGAGATTCACATTCCCAAACCCCCGCTTTGTTGAAAATGTGGTAGGAGAGGCCATAGGGCATACAACCCCAAGAAAAAAATGAGAAACGGAGCTGGGGCACTAAGAGACTGCTTTTTCAGGGGTCACTAAGGGGGAACGGTGCCTGGCAGAGAGCTATGTCTGCTGGAGGCAGATGGAAGAGTGGTCACAGGTGCTCTGTGCCAAACCTAGGGACACAGAGGGCAACAGAAAGACCATTTGGAGGGAGAAGCAAAGGCACCAGGCAACATGGTCTGGCAAGGAGGTGCCGGTCCCCGAGGATGAGAGAATCCAGACCGGATGGCAGTAGGGGTGTGAGACAGGTGTGGTGGGGAGAGCGAATCATTTGCATGCAGAAAGATGAGAGTGAGTTGTGCTGCCTGGAGGAGGACTCCAAATTGGATGAGGGCAGGGAGAGCAAGGACTGGGATGGGGTGGGGAAGGTGAGCCTGCTACAGGTGTGACAAAGTGCCAGTCAAAGGGAGAAAATTCCCTTATCAGTACAGAGAGACCCTGCATAGACCAGAGGAGGGGTAACTGAAGTCAGAGGGCGGTGAGGGGGGTCATTCCCAGGAGGGGTGCCCCAAACGAGCCAGAGCGGGGAGGCGTCCCACATGAATCAGAGGGGGATAGTCCCCACACGAATCAGAGGGGGATGGTCCCCACACTAATCAGAGCGGGGAGGAGCCCCACACTAAGCAGAGGGGTGAGGTGCCCCACAGTAGTCAGAGAGGGATGGTCCCCAAAGTTATCGGGGGGGGGCGTCCCACACTAATCTGAGCGGGGATGGGCCACACTAATCAGAGGGGAATGGTCCCCACGCTAGTCCCAGGGAAAAGGTGTCCCAAAAGTCAGAGGGGGTGGTGTCCACCGCCTGTCGGAAGAAGGGGACTTTCCCACAGGTCAGACAGCAGAGTCCCAGTCCAGTCTGCGAGTCAGGGGACAGAGGTCCCGCACGGGTGGGACGGGAGGGGGGTCTGAGGGGTCACGGGGCGGGACGCGGCGGGAGGCTCCGGGACGGGGACCCGGGCCCGTGACGGGGGCTGGGCGCCGGCGGCCGCGGACGCAGAGTCACTTACCCGCTGCGGGGCTGGCTCCAGTGCCCGCGGGCGGCGGGGCTCGGCTGCACTAACAGCGGGGACAGAGGACTGCAACCGACTTCCGCCCCGCGCGCGCTCGCCCCGCCTCTGGGCCCGCGTTCCCGGCAGCCTCTGCTCTGCGGCTGCGCAGGGACGGCTCGGGGATTGCTGGGAGCTGTGGTTTTTGTTTCCCGCGCCTGCGCGCTGCGGGAGCGGCTGTCTGGCTGCAGGCTGGAGGGGCGCGAGGGTCCGAACTGGCACACGAGAGCCCTGTTTCACTGCGTTGCGCTGGAATGTGGGCCAAGCAGATATTTTGTGGTGGGAGGCATGGGGCGGGGGTGAAGGCTACTGGGGAGGGAAGGTCTCATTCCCCTAGCGAGACGGTAGGGCCCCCTTACATGGGCCTCCCGACCCTCGTAGTTTTGGGAGGTTGAAAAGCGTGGGCCCCTTTCTGCCATCCTCATTCTCAGACAGACAGCCCCTCTCCTTGGCCTTCAAAACAGCCTCCTCCAGAGTGCTGCTGACCAGTTTCCAAAGCCCGAATCGAGGAGCTCTAAGGCTGTAGTGTCCTGGGGTGGGGACGGTAGGTGTTTCCCTGAAACTAATCTGCAATTGTAAACCTGCCACACAAGGGTCTTTGATTTCTCCTTTCCCCTCTCTAGCCTCAGCCCCCGAGATCTTTTAGGGCGCTCTGTTAAAAGGCTTCCCGGGCCCCGCTCTCCTCCATCCCAAAGTTCTGAGAAAGGCCTGGTGGCCGTGGAGCCTCTGGCAGTAGAACTTGGCAGGAGGGTGCACCAGCCCCCCGCCCATCTGCACCTTCAGCTTTCCTGCTCCACACCAGCTACTTCCCCCAGCTCTCTCAAAAGCCTTCTGTTCAGTAACAGGTACACAAGAGGAGGAATTCAAATTATATAAATGGTGCGCAGTGAAAAGCCTCCCATTGCCGTTCTGCATTCCCTGCCCAGAGGCGATCGCTATTTCTAGTTTCTTGTGATTCCTCTGAAGGATGTTATATGGTATTCAAACAAGTCATAAACACGTATCTTAAATTACTTTAAATAGAAATGTGCTGAACACACTGTTATGCACTTTTGGTTTTGGAGAGGAGGCAAACTTTTCTTGAATTCATTAATGTTTCTTGTCGTGCTAAACTGAGTCCCAACCATGTCTCATGTAATACTCCTAACTGTCAGGCCTCTGAGCCCAAGCTGAGCCATCATATCCCCTGTGACCTGCACGTATACATCCAGATGGCCTGAAGCAACTGAAGAACCACAAAGGATGACATTCCACCATTGTGATCTGTTCCTGCCCCACCCTCACTGATCGATTGACCTTATGACAATACACCCTCCCCGCCCTTGTGATAAGGTACTTTGGTATATTCCCCCTACCCAAGAAGATATTTTGTAATATTCTCCCCACTCTGGAGAATGTGCTTTGTGAGATCCACCCACTGCCCACAAAAAATTGCTCCTAACTCTACCACCTATCCCAAACCTATAAGAACGAATGATAATCCCACTACCCTTTGCTGACTCCTTTTTCAGACTCAGTTGCCTGCACCCAGGTGAAATAAACAGCCTTGTTGCTCACATAAAGCCCTTTGGTGGACTCTCTTCACACAGATGCACGTGACAATTATATTCGAATCTTTTATTTTCTAAAAGATTTACATATGCCTTCCAGCTTAAGAAATAACACATTATTCCTGTATCTTTAAATTCTCCAGGTTCTTCTTCCTATTCTCAACAACCTACTACCCCGAAGAGGTGGTAGCCACAATCCTGAATGTTGTGTTAATCATTCTCTTGCTTTACTTTATAATTTTAGCACATAGGTATGTGTCCCTAAACAATATATTGTTTAATTCTGTCTATTTTAACCTTTATGAAATGAAATAAAACTGTATGCAATGGATGAGGGATCCAGTAGCTCTGTCAGAGGCCTTTGAACCAGAGTAATTCCATCTTGAATAAGGGCTGGGTAAATGAGGCTGAGACCTCCTGGGCTGCATTCCCAGGAGATTAGGCATTCTTAGTCACAGGATGAGATAGGAGGTTACAAGATATGGGTTATAAAGACCCTGCTGATGAAACAGGATGCAGTAAAGAAGCGGTCAAAACCCTCCAAATCCAAGATGGCAATGAAAGTGACCTCTGGCTGTCCTTGCTGCTATTTATACACTAATTATAATGTATTGGCATGCGAAAGACACTCCCACCAGCACCATGATGGTTTACAAATGCCATGTCAACATCAGGAAGTTACCCTAGATGGTCTAACAAGGGGAGGAGCCCTCAGTTTTAAGGAAATCCCCACCCCTTTCCCAGAAAATTCATGAATAATCTACCCCTTGTTTATCATATGAGCAAGAAATAACCATAAAAATAGCCAACCAGCAGCCCTTGTGGCTGCTGTGCCCATGGAGTAGCCATTCCTTTATTCCTTTACTTTCTTCATAAACTTGCTTTCACTTTACTCTGCGGCCTTGCCCCAGATTGTTTCTTGTGGAAAATCCAAGAACCCTCACTTGGGGCCTGGATCGGAACCCCTTTCTGGTAACATCTTGCTGAGAAACCATGAAGGGACGATACTGGAGAGACCACTGACCCAAGGGAAATAGACTGCAGCACCAGTTGACCAACTTTGGGTAAGTGGTGGGGCATTTTATCCAGGATAATGGATGGAATTGGGTTAGAGGCCCAAATTAGGAGAGTTAGAGTCCCTCCTAAGACACAGGGAGTTAGAGGCCCCTCTTAGTAAAAAGCAAGAACACTTGTTCAAACTTGGGTTCGAGGCCCAACTTAGGAAGGTTAGAGGGCACCCTCGGTAAGAGCCCTCTTGGTTAAAAATGGATTCAGCACTGCAGGATGTTAACTGCCATTCTCTTTGGATTAATTTGCCATGTCCTCTTTGCTGATGGCTGTGGGTGACAGGATTAGGCATGTGCGGGATCATGGGACCTGGGGAACTTTTTTTTCCTCTCCCAAAGGGGGAAGCTTGAGAGCTGATGGGACTGCTGGAAAAGATCCCTTTTTGACAAGCAGCTGCCTGAACTTTTGATTCAGTGTCGCTCTGATGGATGAGTCTTTATCTGGCTTTCGTGAGGTCTTCACCTCTGCAATGCACCACAGGCAATGCTCTTCTCCCTTCCCTTTCCTCTCTCTCTTTCTCGCCTTTCCCTTGTCTATGTTCTCTGTCACTCTGGGTGACTACTCTTTCATCTTGCTGACAAAAGGGTAAGAATTTACCAGTCAGGCTTCTGGTCTCTCCCTCTCTACGCAAATCAGTTGAGTGAATGGTAAAAATCACTGTCTCCTCTGCAAGGTTTTGATGAATGGGAAAAAGGATTTGTGAGGCTAGTCTTAGGCTGTGACGAATCTTGTGTACTTTGTGCTGTAAATTTGTCTTTCTGTGTCATTCTGTCATAAAAGGGGTATCATAGGATAGAATGTGGCCCTAGGACCCCTGTAAGCCCACTATTCAACCTGGCCCAGCAAACTGATCAGTTGACAACTTTGCTGCAGGTCACTAAAACAAAAACTGGATGAGGATTCCCCCTCGTCTTATTTTATACCCTTGGGAGCTTGATCTTGTGACCATGTAGGGGTACTTTCTCTTGGTTTCCACCATCCCTGTGAGTAATGTTTTACAACCAAAATATATAAAAGAGCTCTATTTAATTGGCTTAAAGAAAAATAAGCACTTAAATAAAATATTTCACCAGAAAAATTAAAATGTTAATGCCTTTTTGTTCACATGACTTTAGTCATCTTTGGAAAAGCAAGGCAGTTTTAAAGATTATTGGTAAAATAAAAATGTCTTGGAAATTTAGACATTTGGTCTAAATTAGACAGGTCAGATACTATGTTTACTAAACTACTTCTTTGACTTTTGGTAATTGTTCAATTTACTTTCTTTGGAGCCATTAGTGTCTACGTAAGGCTTGGGAACATATGGAGTTAGCCATGCCCCTAGCTATGCCAGAAGGAGTCAGACCTTATCTGCACTTTTTTCTGGTGCCCTAAGCTCTACACCTGGTAGACAAATAAAATCACTTACCAGGTTCTTCACCAAAAATAAAAGTTGCTAGGAGTTAACATTACACCATATGTAACTGACATTACTGGAGAAACACTTTTACATGCACTGTGTGTAAGGAAAGTATAACGTGTATTTGGTAAAAGATTATAAGAAGGCATGGGAAAGCAGTCTGTTTTTGCCTGGTTTGGAGGTTTAAAGAGTTGTTCTTAGGAGAAAACGGAAGGTCTAAGCAAGTTGTGGAAGGTTTGTGAAAGATTAATCTTGTAAAAGCCATTCTCTGTGTGAACATATTGGCTAAAGTTAAAGGAGTATTATTCAGTTTTTCCACAAATTGAACATTGGAATAAAAGCACAACAGGGTCTCTTGGAGCATTGTTGTACTCTTTAACAAAAAAAAAAAAAATTGTAAAGGGTTATAAAAGGTTTATAAAAATCTTAAATTATGGTCAAACTGATTGAAGTTAGAAAAATTTGTCTGTAAAGTTTTACTAGGAATTGAATTTGACATCAATAGTACACTCATGAAAAGGTGAAATTTGGCTTTCTCTCTTGAACAAGATTTTCATGTAATATTAAAAGATAATGAAAGATTTTTGTTTGCCTTTTAAATAAAGTACAGGAAAAAGAAGGAAAAGAAAAGAGACAGATTGTTTGAAGAGCTAAATCTTCCCTCTATCACTGAGTAAAGCTTTTTGCCTTTTTAAAATTGTTGAGTTAATATTTTGGCTAAATAAATAACTTAAAGTGACCTGGAATTTTATTTTATGATATCAAGTGTTTTAAACCTTTGATATTTGACCAACTTACCAAAATAAGATTCTAAATATGTCTTTTTCTAACCTGATTAATCCTTTTAGATGGTAAAAATGCTAAAGTCCAAAAGAGACTTATTTGGCTTATTTGGTATATTAAAATCGTACAGGAAGCATTTTCAAGTATGAAATGGTGTTTGACTTTCTTTAGACAATATTTGTGTAAATATGTTACTGGTATGCATTCTAAAATTATGGGAAATTCCTATAATGACTTAGTGTATGTTATCAGTAATAATTATAATTGTTATGTAAAATTAT